GCCCTAATGCCTGGCAATCCAGTTGATTCTTGAATACTGACCTCATATCTTATAACCTTGCTAAACCTGTTTTAATATGTTTTAGTGTATTCTTTAGGATTTTCCTTATATATAAAATCTTGACATCTGCAAATAGAGATGTTTTTACTTCTTTTCTAATTTGGATGCCTTTTAAAAAGCTTTCTTGCCTAATTGACATGAAGAGAACTTCCTATGCAATGCTACATAGAAGTACCTAGAATGGACATCCTTGTCTCCTTCCTGATTTTAGGGGGAAGGCTTTAAGTATTTCACCATTAAGTCTGATGTTAGCTGTGGGTTTTTCTAAGAGCTGTTTATCAGGTTGAGGAAGTTCCCTTTTATTCCTAGTTTGTTCAGTGCTTTTATCATGAAAGGGTATTAAATTTTGTCAAATGCTTTCTCTGAATCTGTTAAAAGGATCTTGTGGTTTTTTGTGTTTTATATAGATTTCATTGATTCATTTCCATATATTAAACTAACCTTGAATTCCTGGAACAAATTTTATTTGATCATGGTATACAATCCTTTTTATATGTTGCTGGATTAGAATGCTAGTGTTTTGTTAGGGGTTTGTGTGCATATTTTTATATAATATAGCATTGTTTCTAACAATGACGAATTTGAAACAAATATCCATCATTAAGGGAGTAGTCACATAACTACATAGCAATTTAAATGAAAAATGAAGTATAACTATACATACTCACATGGATCTCCAAGAAATAGCATGTTAAAAAAAGTATAATACAATATTGAGTTATAATGTTACTCCTAACACTTATGTAAAATATAGACAAATATAAATATGAAAATGCCACACAGTATATTTTTAGTTTGCATGAATATATGTATAAATAGTAAAATATCTGAATGAATTTACACCAAACTGATGGTGGCAGTTCCCACAGGAAGGGGAGTGAGATTAAGAAGACTTGAGATTTACTTGTATTATAAAATTCTTATGAGAAAATATACATGTGTATTTGTATAAATTTAAAATATATAAAAAAAATTAACTCACTGATACACATAAACTTACATCCTAGTAATTTTTACTGTAAATCAAGAAAACGTGCTGTTGCCTATGACACTGTCCCATCCTTGCCTACAGTATAAGCCTACCGCAAGCAGCTTATACAATTAGAACTTGTGTCACTTAAAAACTAGTAATCTAGAAGGAGAATCAGAACAGTATCCATAACTGCAATAAGAAAGGAATAAAGGGCAGGAGAACAAATGAATGGTTAAAAAAAAATAACCACCAGCAAAGTGTTACCAAGGAGAAAATGAAAAGTACAACCAAATGTTACTGTTATAAATGCCAAAAACTGATTAAACAATAGCCTCAATAAAATAAGAACTCATGACTAGGACATAAGACCCCAATGAAGATATGGTGAAGTGGCAGAGGGAGACAAAACATGACTTGTCAGAGCTGAGGAAGCATGTCAAGGAAGAAAATGAATCCATCACAAAAACCAAGTCCCTGTGGAAGCAAGGAAATTGATATTGCTGAGAACACAAGAAGAAGCACGGAGGACAAGACTGAGAAAAATGAGCCGAGCAAAATGCAAATGAAAAAAAGCATCAAAAGAGTAAGAGATTAAATGAACACAATGGAAGAAAAAGAAAATCAAGCCTAATTTGGTGTCCCTGAAAAAGAAAACCAAACAAGTATAATAATAGTATACCTTCATGTCCCGGGAAAAAATTATACTAAACGGTGACTAGTCCAGTAGATATCAGATTTTTAATATAAGACTCTAGTAGGCATTCAATCCCAATTTTAGGTAACCTAATGAAAAGAAAATATCAGATTGGCCTTAATCTTCTCCTCATTGACATTCAATGGAACAACGCCTACAGTGAGCTCAGAGAAAGTGTGAGCCAAGAGGGATGCCTGGGTGGCTTAGTCGGTTAGGCGTCCGACTTCGGCTCAGGTCATGATCTCGCGGTCCGTGAGTTCGAGCCCCGCATCGGGCTGTGTGCTGACAGGTCAGAGCCTGGAGCCTGTTTCGGATTCTCTGTCTCCCTCTCTCTCTGACCCTCCCCTGTTCATGTTCTCTCTCTGTCTCAAAAATAAATAAACGTTAAAAAAAATTTTTCTTAAAAGTGTGAGCCAATAATTTTATAGCTATGAAACTGACATTCAAGTATAAAAACAACAAACAATAATTTTTAACTGTATTACATTTCAGAAAATATAATTCTCACAAGCCCATCACAAAGAGTGCAAACATGAGGGACATAAGAATTTGCTGAAGAAATTGTGGCAAAGGGGACACATAATGAACATTAAATTAATTTTTAGGATTAAGACTAAAACAACTGCAGGAATTATCTTAGCAAAAAATAAATGTTATAAATTAATACAGTGTAGGATTCATACAGTAAAAATTGAAAAGATGTAAGAAAGTGGAGCACAGTGTAGCTATGCTGACTTCCTCTTTTTTGAGAGAGAGAGAGAGACAATACATGTATGCACGCAAGCAGGGGAGAGTCAGACAGAGAGCGAGGGGGGGGGAGAGAGAGAATCTCAAGCAGGCTATCTACTGTCAACACAGAGCCCGACACAGGCTCAGTCTCACAGCCATGAGATCATGAGCTGGGCAGAAAATCAAAGCCAGACGCTTAACTGACTGAGCCACCCAGGAGCCCCTCCTCGTCTTTTAATATCCAGGGATTAAAATATTTCACTTACAGCTGACAAATCACATAATAGAAATGTAACTATAACTAAAGATTTACAGAAAAACATCAGAACAGAAATCACAATTAACTAAAATGTGTTGGTGAAGGAAAGACAAAGCTGAGATACTGACCCACATGCCATGTGAGCCGTGACCAGTATGATTACAGTTCAACTGTCCTGAGGTCTTCAGATTGTTTGGGGAAAACAACAATATGATGACCTCAGTACAGGCAAAAAAAGAACTTGATTCACTCCAATACCTCTTTGTGACAAAAGCTTTTAACAAACTAGGACGAAGGGGAACTTCCTTAACCTGATAATTGTTACCTATCACATTATCATGCAGACCTCATTTTCAGTGGGACAACTTTGGAGGCATTCCTGTGAACATCACGAATAAGGCAAGGATGACACAGTCCCATGTTGCATGCAACGTGATTTTGTAAGTTCCAGTCACGGTGGTGAAAGGAGAAGAAATTAAAACCGTAACGATTAGAAAGGAAGAAATAAAACTGCCATATGAGCAGATGTTTCAATTAGCTTTATGGAAACCAAGCCAAAATAGACAAATTATTATAAATAGTAATAATATGTAAATAATGAAATGGTAGCTAAGTGCAGGATATATCTTATTAAAGAAACATACTTTCTACCATATCCTTTTATAGTTTGAATTTTGCACCTTGGACACATATTGCCTAGCAAAACTCTATCTTAAAGTTGTCCTTGACCTTTTAAAACTATGTACAATATCCTATTCGTGTAAAATGATGTATGTGTTTTTATGTGCATTAACAGATGCTGAAAAGGCTAGCCACCAAAATATTACCTTTTTAGGGGTCATTTCTGTAGTGCAATGTGGTACAGGTTGATTTTGGGTTTTTCCCCCCTTTTGTGGTTTAAATTATCATGTACTATTTTTATAACGAAAATGAAGCTAGTTTTGCTGGGAGAAAATGAGGGAGTAAATAGACCCCTCAAAAATAGATATTTCCATAATCTCTACATAGTTGGGCTCAGAAATCTCTCATTTTTAAAGCTCCCTTGCTGATTCTGATGATCACATTTAGGAACCACAGTGGAAGGATTCATAATCTAATTTGGAATGATCACCTAAATTGCTGAAGCAAACACGCATAACCCTTGTCCAAAACCCAAATGAAAATCATAACAAAATGATTACCAGCCTGCATTTCAGAATCTCACCGATAGTGTTGGGTTCCTTTATTGACACAGTTAAACCAGGCATCCGCTGGTTGCTGACCTCCTCCCTGGCAGCCTCAGCCATTTCCTCCCTGAATCATTATTATCCACCCACTGTCTGGGTACAAGTCGGGTCAGAGTATGGGCAGAGGAAGCCCTCTGGCCTCTGAAGGGCTCCCATTATAGCTGGAAATACTCAAGGAAATAGACAAAAGCATGCACTGAGAGAGTTGCAGAAATTCCTGAAGGTCAATGGAAGTAAGAAATGGGGCACAGTGTGGTAAGGAGTGGTTTTGTCACTGAGGGAGTCACTTCCGCTATCAATCCACAGATTCAGGAAAAGCTCAAAGTCCGGCAAAGACCAAAGGAACCTCCAGCAGATGAAGTGACCGGGGGCTCTGTGCGTCCATGCTCCCAGGAGGGGCTCTCTTAGTCTGCTAGGGCTGCTGTAACCAAGTACCACAAACTGAGTGGCATAAATCACAGACCCTCACTGACTGTCTCATGGCTCTAAAAGCTAGAAGTCCAAGATCAAATTGTGGGCAGGGTTGCTTCCTTTGGATTGCTGTAAGGAAGAATCTGCTTCGTGCCTCTCTCCTAGCTTCTGGTGGTTTGCTGGCAATCTGTGGTGTCCCTTGGCTTGTAGATGCATCATTCTGACCTCTGTTTACATGGAGTTCTGTGTGCGTGTCTGCATCCGGGTTTCCCCTTTTTATAAGATTAGGTGCCCACCCTACTCCAGTGCGATCTCATCTTAACGAATTACATCTGCAAGGGCCTAATTTCCAAATTAAGTCACATTCTGAGATAGTGGGGGTTGGGACTTGAACATAAGAATGGGAGCGGGGGAGAGACAGCTCAACTCTTAACACATACAAATGGTGCTGTCTGGAATTTGGGCAGCTGGGCAGTGCTGGCCATCAAAGAACAACTCTTGGTTGGTTGACTTGATTTCTCGGAGCTGGACCATCCCATTCCACAGGCTCTGAAGTTACCATAGGGATGGATCTTTCTGGGGAGTTCTACGTGGACCTCTGATGGAGGGTGGAGGTGTGCTTTACCTGTATCTTGTCTGTCACTACAGGTTATATTGAAGCTGCTGTCATTCCAGCTGGAGCTCGGAGGATCCGCGTGGTGGAGGATAAACCTGCCCACAGTTTTCTGGGTAAAATGAAAATGATCCGATCCGTGGTTCATGTTCTAAGGTTTGAATGATCAGGCTGATTATTTGGTCCAGCATCATTCTCCCAGGCCACGGGTTTTACACCGGTATTTGAGACATAAAGACAGAAGTAATCAGAGCACTCCACACAATGTTGTCGTCTTTGGCTAAAGTGCAGCCACCCCCAAAGTAGATGGGGTGGGGGAGAGCAGGAGGAACCACCAGCTTTGGATATGTCATGGAAGATGACAGAGGAAGGAAGGATGGAATTGGGGTGGCGAAAGCCCCCCAAAGTAACCCCCAGAGAACTCAGAGCAGCCTTAGCCTACACAGCATAGACCCGTTGCCTGGCTTGGAGGGAGCCCCTAGAGGCTGTTGATGGCTCTGGGGATGATTTCTTAGCTGGAAAAAAGAGTAATAGCCCTAAATCCAATGGAAGCACAAAAGAACCCTGGTTTTCACTAAGTGTTGTGTACCCCAAATTCCTAACAGCCACCTCTATTGACTTCAGGCACAAATGCCTGCATCTGTCTGCAGAAGGATTGGCTTCCATTCCAGATTTTTCCTCATTGCCTTCAACAGAACCATACTTAAAGCCTAAGAAGAGGGGCTCCTGGGTGGCTCAGTCAGTTTGGGTGACCGACTTTGGCTCAGGTCATGATCTCACAGCTCGAGCCCTGAATTGGGCTCTGTGCTGACAGCTCAGAGCCTGGATTCTGTGTCACCCTCCCTCTCTGCCCCTTCCTCCCTCCCTCCCTCCCTCCCTCCCTCCCTCTCTGTCTGTCTGTCTCTCTCTCTCTCTCTCTCTCTCTCTCAAAAATAAATAGTTTTTAAAAAAAAATTTTTTTTTTTAAGCCTACGAAGAATTGTTCAACTGAACACCTCCTTGGGCACAGAAGTCCCTCTGAGTGTATCCTAAGCTTAGCTGCCAGCCTCTCCATTGGCCCTCTCAAAGGTCTGCCTGGTACTTGAGCACCAGAGTAGAGTGATGTGCTCTTTATGCTGCTGTGGGGACCAGCAGGGTGCTCAGAGCCTGCCTCTACTGCTAGTCCCCTGGGATGGGACATGCTGTGACCCGTGCCCTCCCGCCAGCCCTTCTCCTTCCTATGTTCTGTCTCAGGTTGGATTTCAAACTGGAGGTGGCTGATCTCCTACCCAGGTCCTTCTCCTGGGCTTTCTCGTATTATAATCTCCTCCGTCTGTGTTGCAAGGTGCCTTTTGAGATTGAAAAGAATTTATAAGACACCATCTCTCTCTCTCTGGCTTCAAACTTAAGAATTAAGTTGTTTTGGCTCAAATGAAGCTCCTGGTGAAATGCTTTTAGTTCAGCTTTTATCGCTAATTTTTTTATTAATTAAAATTTTTTTTTTCAACGTTTATTTATTTTTGGGACAGAGAGAGACAGAGCATGAATGGGCGAGGGGCAGAGAGAGAGGGAGACACAGAATCGGAAACAGGCTCCAGGCTCTGAGCCATCAGCCCAGAGCCCGACGCGGGGCTCGAACTCACGGACCGTGAGATCGTGACCTGGTTGAAGTCGGACGCTCAACCGACTGCGCCACCCAGGCGCCCCAAATTTTTTTATTAATTATATCATTATCCACATTCCTGCCTTTGCAGCTTCAGAAGGATCTAGGTCTTTCTTTGAAATGGTCTCTACTTGAGAAACTCCAAGTCTCGTTAGACAGACATAAAACAAACCTCTCTTAGGCAAGTTTCCAACGAAGACCACTGTCCTGTCACTTAAGAAAACACTTTGCAGGCACTCAGATAATCCTCACACATGTGCTTTGGGGAACGGCGGGAGTAGGGACAGGAGCTCTCATTCCTGAGTGCCCACACCAGGGCTCACCAGCAAGCAGCCGCCTGGGGCCCCTACTGTGTCCCAGGCAACCCTGTCACCTCCTCTTCAGATTTCTCTTCTGCCGTCCACTCTGCCTCCGTGAGGCCACCGCTGCTCCTTAAGCCGGGGTGGAACCTTACAGGTTCATACTCAAATCCGTCTCCATCAGCCCTGCGGTTTTTCCACCTGCCTGGCATGGACGCTGTCCCCGTCTAGCCTGGCCCCCTTCATTGCAGCTGTCTGAGCTGTCGCCGCAGATGGAACAGTGCTTATACATGCTTTCGAAAACAGCCTTGTGCTGCTTCTGGCAGCTTCCTTGGAGCTATGGCCTTTTTACCAAATTCTCAAAAAGCCCACCCCCGCCCCTTTCCTCCCACCTGAGGAAATTGGGTCAGCCTCACTGGCATCTGTCACCTTGGGTCACTCCCAGATGTTACCCTTTCCGACTGGTTCATCAGCCCTTGCCTACCTGGAAAGGACATGTCTACCCCCTGGGGTCACCAGGTGTCTTTGGGAGGCAGACATTGCCTTTGACCCTTATCTTATTCAAAAATCATAATCTCAATATCCCCAGAGCTGGCACAGTTTCAAGGTCAACTTATTGGCTGGCCAGCAGGTACCCCTGCAGGTGAGTCCCTTGGCTTCTGGTCCTGGCTTCTGAGATGTCCCAGCCCCAGGTTTCTGTCCAAAATAGGAACGTTATCTGTGCTTTTCCGTGGCAACCTAAGAATGACAGAAGGATGTCAGAATCCTTTAGATTGTTCAACTTCTGTAGTAAACACAGATGTTTTGCTGGAACCCACTTTAGGGCCAAGTAAATAGTGATGCTGCCCATGGCGGCGGGGGGGGGGGGGGGGGGGGGGCGAGCTCTCCTATTGGCTCCTCTCAGATCCCAGAGCCTGTGGGCCACACATGCAGGTAACAGGAGCATCGATGTTTGTGGTTCCCAGTCACTGAGCCCTGCTTGGCTCTGTAGACCTGACCCCTAACCTCCCCCCATTAAGTACTGCAAAGTATTGCTTTTCCTATTTCACTGAGGAAGAAACTGAGGCTCCAGGGGTTCAGCAGCTTGTCCAAAGGTCCTCATTTCATCTGGGCCTGTGGCAATCCACAGAGCCTCCTGGAATTGCTCTGATGTGTTCCATTACAGCCAGAGATCAATAGAGGGAAACGACTTTTCCCTGGCTAACATGCGTTAAACCTGCCCATTGCTGTGACTTATTTATGTGGACTTCAAAGAAGCGAACCTCCAGCCCAAGGAAATTGGTTCAGTGTCTCAGGACAACTTCCCCAGAAGCACCGGGCCTCCTGCAGAGGGGGGAGCCAGCTTTTGTCTTCTTATCTTATTCATAAATTTTAATCCCAGGATTCCAGGGCCTGGTGTGTGAGCAAGGGCAAATCCGAAGGTGGTCCATGCTCATTATGTTTCTAAAGTTAGTTCAAACAAGCCTTGTTTCCACTCGGGGCTGGGTGCTTTGGAAGTCAACCCAGTGTAACTTTGAATTACTCTCACATTTGCTGGGAGCAGTTCCTGAAGAATTTCACCCCACCTACCTTCAGCCCACGCTGCCTGGCTTTCTGCTCAAAACCACCTGGAACAGGAAATGCCTCTGCAGTTTGCATCCACAGCTAAGAACAGAGCTGGCAGAACTGTGAGTGGAAATAAAAGGAACTGACTGGATGCCAGGATTAGAAGTAGGTTGACTGTGGGTCAAGTCTTCCAGTGGAATCCAAGAGGGAGAAGGACAAAAAAGGAGCAGCTTCTGCACAGCGCCATGCAAGAGGAGGGTATGGGGATGGGGTTGGACCCCTCGTGCCTGCCTCCAGCCAGCTATAAGGAGGAGCTGTGCCCTCCCATCAGGAACATCCCCATCCCCCCCACCACCACCACTTGCTCCCCAGTGAAGTCCAGGGACGATGTGTAGATGTTCACAGGGCAAAAGAAGGGCCCAGGGATGGAAATGGACATTTGCCACGTGACCTCACGTTCCAGGCCGTTAAGGAGGTTTCGTTCTTCACAGGTAGCGAGAAAGAGCACGTGCTCATCCTCATCCCTGCAAAAGTCTCTCCAAAAGCTGCCAAAAGGCTTCTAATGGCTCCTGAGCCAAATACACAAAAGCAGGCGCTGGTTCTATCTCAGACGGTGGCTTCAAACATCCAGCCTCTGACCCAGGCAGAACCAGCAAGCGAAACTTTGCTCCCCAGCGAATCCGAACTTCAGACAGCACAGATCCCATCAGGTCGCTCAGGATTTCCCTGTGTTCTGAACTCCATCGTTTGCCTGTCAAATCAAAGCATCTGTCTTCATTTCAGTAGCCCCTGTTGAGTTTCTAGGCCTAAAAATCTCAAACTGCCTACGACAAGGGGTGTCCTTGCCCATACCCATCGATGCCTCAGGATTGAGAAGGACAGGAACTTGTGGGGCCCAAAACTTGTTTAACTCAGGGGCCTTCTTTAAGAAAAGGAACGCCACATTATGTGCAAGGCCTTGGAAAGTATTCCTGCAACTTGGGGGGTGGGGGGCCCTGGTGCTTCCTCCTGGCGTGCTCTGGCAAACCCTGCAGAGTGAAGGAGCGCGCTCAGGGTAGAGGCCGCTGCGATGGGCCAGGGGTGGTCTGCGATACCGCTGTCTGGAGCTGACGCGGCCCCAGGACATGGTTTTCTCATTGGACGCACAAGGAACCTATTTACTCACTGCTGATAATGATCTTGATGTTCGGAGATTCTCTGAGGCCACTGTCCCTCCCTTTAGAAGGAATCTCAGGTGCTAAATTCCGATTTCAGCAGGAAGTTCCAGGGTCACCGCTGGACCCCAGCAAAAACCTTGCAAATTTTGAATCTTGCTGACTAAATTACTCACCCGAAGTCAGTAGGTTTGAGGCGATCTCCATGCTTCTTGGGATTGCTGAGCTCCTACTTTTAACTCTGTGTTTTTCCTCCCACTGCAAAATTCACAAAGTATGGTCATCACGATCAAACTGTCCTGAGGATGGGGGTGCCAAGTGGCAGTTGCGAACCTACGTTTGCAGTGCCTGGAAGCTTGCAGCCGCCCGTGGAGGTGGCCACAAGCAGAGCTTGGACACGCAAAGTTTATTCATTCTGGGGACGTGAGAGCCCCACCCACCCACCCCCAAAGCTGTGATACTGGGAGACTTCACCAAGTCAGCAGCTCCACACCAGGCCCTCCAGAACAAAGACAGGCACTTCCAGAGCTCATGGGGGTGCCCTAGCAGCGGCATGTGGCTTGGAGGAGGTCTGCGTTCACTGAGGGCACACAGATTACTTGAAATCCTCCATGGTGGGGACATTGACCCCATGGGAGCAACAAGCACTCTAGATCTAGGCTTCTTTCCTAAGGGGGCTGGTTACCAATGTTCCACTGACTGACGTGTTCTTCCCCAGTCGGCTGCTGGCCTTGTTCTGGCATAGCCTGCTAGCCACAGCCTGCCCCCTCACTTCCTTTCCCCCAATTCTTTGACCACACCCACTCCTCCAAAGCAGAGGACCTCCTGCAAGGTCTCCTCCACCTACTCCTCTGGTAGGGGATCACCTCTGGTGATCGGAGGCTGATGAGCCCCAAGCCCCAGCTGTCTGGACATCTGTCCCCTGCATCTCACCCACAGTGGGTGCCTCTGCCAGCAGAAGCAGGGCTCCCCAGGCTGGCCCCCACACCTCTGCGCACTGTTTCTGTAGATGGTTTCATAATCATCTCCAGGTGTGCCCTCCCTCACTTTTCCCAGTCCTTCCCATTCCTGACCCCCCAGATGTTTGACTTCTGGCATGGAGGCCGGGTAGCTTTCAAGTTTTCAGTTTATAATTCACTAAGTCACTTTAAAGTGCTTCCCACAAAGGGTGGGGAAATGCACAAACAAGGCTGAGTGAGAAAGAGTCACCTCATCCTGAACATTAGTGTCAGACAGGAGCAGAGGCCTGGGAGACAGTTTAAGGCATAGATAATGTCAGACCTTCTAAATCTCTGGCTACTAAGCTTAACACTAGTAAGGATCCTAGTGTGGTTTCTAGGAGTCCACACTAGTAATCTTTCTCAAACTGCTCTGCCCCTATCATGGTTAGTATTTTTTTTTTTTTTAACTGACCTCCAAAAAGCAAATGTGAAAGCAAAACACAGTTCTCAGTTGCTGAGCATCAGCTTCAGGCACAGCTGGATCCAGGAGCTTTAAATGATATCATGGGAAAATATTCTCTCCCCTGGGCACTGCTGTCCTCTCTCAGTTGACCTTATTCTGGGGGCCTCTTCCCATGTACTGGTAACCCAGACTTACATCGAGTCTCTGGGCAATTCTGTGGTAAGAAGGCTGCTGCTTCCCAAGGTGAACGAAGTCTTGGGACTGACTCTCACTGTCCGGGGTTGGGTGATGGGTCCATGCCTGGAACTGGGGTGAGTTTGGGGTCTGCCCAGCATGGCTAGAGGAAGAACATATCCCCAAAGGCAACCCCAGGTTGTTACTTGAAGAAATAAATGCCAGACAACAACACACGATTCATAGCAGCCATAACCTGAGAAGAAGGTCAGGGCCCCAAGTCTTAAACCCAAGGCCCCAACCCTGGGCACTGAGTGGCAGAGTCAGCAAGTGCATGTGGGTAGGCCGCGACAAGGAGCACAGTCACCCCAGAGTGCCTCTGGTGTCTGTGTGGGCAGTGGGTTCTCTGAGATGGGCCCAAGCATGCTGGTGGTCAGCATGTAGCTCTAAAGACACTCTTCTGTTCATCCCTCTAACCCCAAGTTACAGGGCAGGGTGGGGGGGCAGAGAGGGGGGGTCTTGACATGCTCAAATCCCCCACCCCAATAACAGGAACACTGAAACTTCTCTCCCCTTCTCCACCCTCTAGAGCCACTCTTTACCTCACCTCCTTTGCCCAGCCAAACTTCTAGGGAAAAAGAAAATTCCTTTGCCTCCCTCTTCTCCACACAGAGCCTTCCTCTCTCCACCAGCCCACCACAGGAACATCAGTCATGGCCGCCCAGATCAGGATCCATGCCATCCAGTCCTTGCCTACCAGGCACTCCCAGGCCACTTCTTCTCCCTGCCTCTGCATTGCTTTCAGACAGTCTTCCCCATCTGCCCCTGTCCCTGTCCCCCGCACACACATATGGAGGCCCCGAACTCACCTCTGCCACAGAGTCTATGAAACTGTGTTGTGTTCATCCATTCTCTCACCTTCCATACAGGGAGCTGGCTGAGGGCAGGAGCTGTGTGCTTAGCACCTGCTAGGAGGCCCTCAGAAAAGCGTGAGGGGCTGACGGGGGGGAGGGGGTTGGGGGGGGGCATGTGTGGGTCACTCCCTATGCTTCCCAGTCTTGTTCTTTTGGAGACAGTTCTTTCTGAGACTCTGGCCCCTCCTTTGGCCTGTCTGCCACATCCCACCAGCCTGCACTGATTTCTGAAACCAAATTTTCATATGCATGTGCAAGAACCAATTTTCCAAACCTATGGAGAAATTAGAACAATGAACACCCATACAGGCTTCACCTAGATTCCCCAATAATTAACATAACCGGACACATTTGAGGCTGTTCATTCACTGGAAGCTTTGGAAATCTGCAAAGTTAGTGATTTTTAGGAGGGTATATGGAATGTGAGACCCTGTACCCATTCGAGCCTGGAATTTGTCCTCTTTAAAAACAAGGGTGACATTTGCCCATCTCGGCATTTTTCCTAAAACTCTAGACTGAGGTTATAGCCTAAGGAATATGGGGATTTATATAGCCAGAATGGTAAGGGTGCTGAGCTTGGTCTGTTTAGGTTCAGGTGTCTACTCGTAATAGCTGTGTGACTTTAGGCAGGTAACTTAACCTCTCTGGGCCCCCATTGCCTCATCTGAGGAAAGAGCAAAATGATCCTTTACCTTGGAGAGTTGTTGGGAAGGTTACATGGGTAAAAGTACATGAGGGGCTAAATCAGAGCACATGGCCCTTAAATGGTGGCTTTAGGTGGTGGCTGAGGAAGCAGAAATTGTGAGTATCCTGATACTCTCACTTCCTTTTAGGAGCCAGGAAATGTCAGTAGCAGGTAGAATTTCTTGAGGGGAAACATTTGATTCCAAGAAGTAGAGCCTTCTCTCTTCTAAGCCTTCCCTGGAGTCCTGTAATCCTCAACCGCTCGCTCTGCACAACCACCCTGGATATGAAACCCCAACTGGAAGTTGCTCTGCTGGAAAGCGGCCCTCCCTGTTTCTTTCTCAGTTTCTCTTGGCAGTTCCTATAAGCAAGGAGTCCTGAGCATGCATGTCCTCTGCGTGTGCCAGGAGAGCCTTGCTGGGCGGGAGTGAGGGCTGGGACCATCATGTCTTGGAGATGAGGAAGCAGAGGCCCAGCGTCTCCCAGGTGCTTGTGGCCTGGCCAGGACCGGGTCCAACCAGATCCTAACCCAGCCCAGAGCTCACGGATTCCGGGTTCACAGGAAGCCCCTTTTTGGCTTCAACTCTTATTATGCAAAATCGGTATTAAATGCAAGTGTTTTATTTCTGGCCTCAGTAAGCAGAGAAGAGGGAGCAGGGTAGAACGTGATTTCACTGATCGTGGATGGAGCAGTGTCCCCAAGCCATTGGGGGGCATCGGGGGCTCCAGCTGTATTTACAGAGATTGAGGCATTGCACTCTGGGTGCCCTGAAGTTTCATTTTTGGGGCGGCATAAGACTTGGTGTCACCTACTGTCATTTGCCACCTTCTCCTAACTGCCAGAGTAGTTCTTTGCTTTCCTAAACAACAAAACAAAACAAAACAAAACAAAACAAAACGGGCTTTCACCACAGAGTGCTCTCCTCATGAGAACGACAGGACTCCAAACCTAAGCGAGGAGACACTAACGAGTCACCGTCAGCCCTCAGACCATCATTCTGTGGCTTGTGTGGAAAAACCACAGTTTTGCTCCGGCCGATCAGCACACTGTTGGCTTTGTCTCTTCCAACACATTTTGTACCCGGTGGAGGCGTGAGCCAGCAGAGTGGACCCGAAGCCCACGGAGCCCTAGTCTCACAGCCCTGGTGGAGCTCTGCCGTCCTGTCTGTGGGCAGCCCGGGTTCCCGGACTCGACTGGGAAAGAGTTAAAAGAGTCACGGTGGTTTCTTGAGGAGGCATCCACTTTACTAGTGCAGGGCTATCAAATCCTTAAGAGAAGCCGGATTAAGCTGTAACTTTACGACTCTTCTTTTTTTATTTTTTCTTAATTTATATTTGAGAGAGAGAGAGAGAGATAGTGCACAAGCAGGGGAGGGGCAGAGAGAGAGACAGAGACAGAATCCGAAGCAGACTCCAGGCTCCCAGTTGTCAGCACAGAACCCCAAACGGGGCTCAAACCCATGCGCCGTGAGTTCTTGATCTGAGCCGATGCCGGACGCTTACCCAACCGAGCCACCCAGGCGCCCCTGGGCTGTGACTTTAAGAAGCCCCAGGTAGGTAACAGTAAAATGAGTTGATGCGTTTTGCTAAAGCAGCAAACCCCTCTTGGTAGGCTTGGGCACGTTAAGATAGAATTCACCCACCAGGCAGGAGACCCTCTCCCCTGGGAGTTTAGGAACGTGTGACTGTGCTGTGTTTGTCTCCACCCTCTGGCGCTCCTCCCCGCACCCCCACCGGGTGGGTGGATTCTGAGGCAGCCCACACTTGAAGAAGCCGCTATTGCCACCGCTCTTTCTCAGGTTTCTCCAGGTCCTGCGGCCCTTGGGCTGTTTGCCCCCTGTGAGCCAGGCTTCTGTTGCCGGTACACAGAAAACTCACCTTCTATCACTGCACGCCACCCTCCTCCCTTCCCCTGTAGAGGCGGAGGCTGAGACCTCTGCCCCACCACTCAGGACACCCAGACTGACTCCCCCTGGTTCCCATGGTGTCCCCTTTTTCTTCCCAGCCCTGAAAGACACCAGTAAGAGATCCATCAACAGCGACTGGAAGATCGAGCTCCCCGGGGAGTACCAGATCGCCGGCACCACTGTGCGCTACGTTAGAAGGGGCCTGTGGGAGAAAATTTCTGCCAAGGGACCAACCAAAATACCACTGCATCTGATGGTAACTTGCTGTGCTTTTGTGTTTGTCTTGAGCCTGGTTCTCCAAGGGGTCTGCTGGCTCTCTTCTTCCCTGGGACCTGGGGAGAGGTTCCCGGGAACCTGGCTCCTGGTGGGTTACCTGGCCACCTGCTGCTCAAGCCTCCCCCGCCCCCTCTCTCTCTCCATCTTCTCTTATCTCATCCCTTTTGCCACATGCCTGAGAATTTCCCCCTCCCAAAACTTCGCCCTGGCTCTTCACTGGCAGAGAGAGTTACCATCTTTTTCAAAAGGAACCGCCTCCAGGAAGGAAATACTTCGCCATGTGGCAGCCAGGGAGAATTGGCCTCATCGAGCAGACAGCCTCGCTCGGAGTCTGTGTTTTTATATCAGATGGCACAGATCCGCCCCACAGTTTGTATATCCACATTGGAAACTACCTTTTGGAAATGAACTGTTGACTCTCTTTCCAAACCAGCGTCGCTCAGATTTTCCAGACTCGGCTTGCAACAGGAGTTCGGGAATCGGGAAGGAGAACCAGGTTCTACAGGAAGATTTCCTCCCTGGGTAGTCAGCCCAGGTTGGGGCAACCTTGTCTTACCTCTGGTCTCGGGTGGGGACCCCGTGTAAACCACTTTATCATCGGTCATACATCCTTGTAAAAGCATTAAAGATCTCCAGAGGAGGGGATACCACCATTTCTTTCTCAGGGTCCAGAAGTTCTCATGGCTAACTTCTGATAGCTCATAATTATTGATTCCATGTCTCATTCCAAAGAACGGATTTTGTGGCAGCTTGTGCGTCTGTAATCAAAGCACATTTTGTCCTCTGTGCTTGCCAAAGTCTCCGCTTGGAAATTTTTTTTTTTCCTCCATTAATTTGCGGTCTCTGGCAATCTGCAGCCGTTCAAGGTTAGGTGACAGCCAGAAGATTCCCTGGCCACTTCTCAGGGAATCCCCTGAGGAGACCAGCTCTGCCTGCGAGCACGGGCACCCAATACAACATCACCCATGATGGCCCTACCCCTGCTACACCTTCTGATGAGATCAGAGTGAACTGGTTTCCATGCATGACTTCAACCGTCCTGCAGCCTGCCCGTGCAACCAGCACTCAGCCCACGAAGTCCACTGTAGACGCAGCCCTGCAAGTTTGATTTCTGGGCCCCAAGAACCTATACTGAAGCCACTGCCCTGCAATAGATTACTGGATTAGAACAAATCCTCCTGTCCTGATGTAAGAGGAAGCATAAGACGAGAGAAAAGCCATGCAGCACTGTCACCTGTTAGCACATGAATCTGCTTTATTATCAAACCCTAAGACGGGTATATTTTCCTTCTTTGCCCAATGCTTTCATCAACTGTAAGTGAACCGTCAGCCCATCAAAGCAAACGCGCAGCCTGGATTCATGAAGACCATGCCTGATAAACAAGACTCAACTGAAGTTCCAACCCTTTTTAATATTTATTAATCACTTTTCTCTCTTGAAAAATGATTACTTCAAGTTTTTAAATCCAGAAAGGAGACGTGCCCCTCTGCCTCTAAATAGAAGTCTGCTGTCCCCAAACTGGGGTGCATACATTGCCTGCAGGGTCGGGAGCGTCCATAAGAGGCACGGGGACCTGCATTTGAAACCAATTACACACTCACACACACAAATTATACGTGGCTGCAAAATTGCATGAAATTGGTTTCATATGGATTCTTGATTCACCAGTCTTATTCCCATACTGAGATAATAAAGATCTTTTAAAGAGGTTTTTTTATCTTTTTTTTTTTTAACTGGAGGCATTTTTCCAAATGCATTACTGCACGTCTGTTTCTTGGAGAAGTGGATGTGTATGCGGTTCAGGCTGCTCTTAGCACCTCACCCCCACCCCACCACTCAAGCTCTGGGAGGGGTGGGAGATGCTCAAGAGCTGTGCGGTCCCCTCCCCAGGTCCAGGCAGGTGGAGCACACTCCGTCTGTAGCTGTCTGCTGCTTCTCCAGGCCTGGAAGTGAACTTGAGAGCTGCCTTGACCCAGAAGTACCCACTGGTTCTGAGTCTAGCCCAAAGACACGTCACCTCCAGCCAGGCTCCCACAAGAAGGCTTGTTCTGCACCAAAGCATGTGTGTCGAGAAACAAAGCTGAGAGAGCACTTCTGTCTTTACAGGGCTTGTGATGCCTTGTCATACGAACAGCAGGCCCATCCATCTGCTCACTCACCAGGATTTCAGACCCAAGGGTCCCCAAGCTGCAGGATGGCTCCCCGCCCCTCACTTTGAGCTTTCAGCCTCGAGCCAGGCCTCTGTCACCCCGTGGGCATCGACATCCTAGCTCCTGTGGCAACAAGAAGGCTTGTGCGTCTTTGGACTCCTAAACAGAAGTCCCCAAGGCTCCTCTGCGGTGGGCTGTGTTTGCCCTTTAGCCTGCTTTCGATGTGGCAATGACCGGCGCTAGGGGACTGAAGAGTGATGTTCATTCTCAAAGTAGAATAACCCTACTTGTTCACATGCCTTTTTAGGGAAAAACAGTATGTTTGTGTCTTTCTTGCTGCAAGGGTAGCTTCGTGGGTGAGTATGTGGAAACAGGCTCTTTTCTCTGCACCGAGGGGGGCTTTCCACATAGAGTTCAGTGAGAGCCCGCAAATTTGCCTGTCTCCAAATTCCTCGTCCAAACTGGTCCTGTCTCCAATGGGAAGGGGCAGAGCTCCCTGCTGATGGTCCACATACACTCCAGCCCCTGAGTTGAGTATCTGAGGAACCCAAGACCCAAATAAGGGGGTGCCCCTAGACTGAACGTGTTTTGAAACCCAGAAACGAACTGGTTACCCTGGTAGAGAGACAGCCCCAAGGGCGGCCTGGTTTGCAAATTCAGCAAGCCCGGATGCTTCCGCTTGATTCCAGAATGGCCTTTTATTTTGCTGCTGATCCAGGTGTTGTTATTTCATGACCAAAATTATGGAATCCATTACGAGTACACCGTTCCTGTAAACTACACTGCCGAAAATCAAAGCGAGCCGGAAAAACCCCAGGACTCTTTGTTCATCTGGACCCACAGCGGCTGGGAAGGGTGCAGCGTGCAGTGCGGAGGAGGTGAGCATCCGGGGTCACGCGCCCATGGGGTGTGGGGTTTTGCTTAAGGAAGGTTGTGAACTCGAGGCACTCGGCAGCCAGTGCAGAGGGCACGAGAAGGGCTGGCCACGTCACCTGTATTTCCCAGGAAACTTAAGCACACCCCACTGAACTCTCTCTGCAAAACACTTGTGTAGCCTTCCAAACTCCTCCGTGTTGGAGCTGTGCCCCCAAGGCTGCTTTGCCTATGGCCCAGGGCCCTTGGACTCTGACCTGAGTGGAGGTTTGGCCGCTATGCAGATACATCACAGGTATGACAGGTGAGTGACCCTGGGGATGAACAGGATAGACCTTCACTTGTTACTGTTTGGTGGAAGGGAACCAGATGTGTTGCCCCAAAATACTCTTTCCTTTTTGCCACAGGTGTCCCACTACAGGATACAGCAGAAGGAAAAAGCCCCACGAGTCTGATGAAACATTCCGAGCATGAGTCCTAGCTGAGTCACAATTTGCTGCCATATATTAGCAAATGACTTATCCTATCTATACTAAAATGTTCTCACCTCTCAAATAGAGTGATCGGCCCCTATGCCTACTGCAGGGAAGGAACTGCCATACTGCAAAAATTAGTATCGGCAAAAGGCACCATATTCATTACGGGGAGGTTTAGGGGGAGCAGTAGGAAGCCATTCTGAACTCTTAGCCAGCAGCCCCTTGGGACAGGGTAATTTGTCACCTTGATAGGACACACAGCCTGGTGATGAGAGGTGGGACACAGGATGTATGGGTTTTTATGGGCACAGAGTTAGGATGGAGAGTTCACCTAGACTCTGGAATGCCAGCCCAGAGAGTGGGATGGCCCCACCAATACCCAATTCCACATGGCTATTGACGGCTAAGATGGTGTTTGTCAGGTATCTGATATGTAGAGGATTGCTTACCATTTAGTGACTTGTCCCATTTCTAATAGGTAGGAATTCTATCCATAACATCATTGGGCCATCAGACACTGCCAGGGCCAGCTGTGAATTCCTTCCTTCTCCTGCACATCTTGGCTAACTGCCCTTGCTGTTTGTTCTTAGCCTGTTCCTCAGGCAGCCCTGGCAGTTGGCATAGCTTCAGGAACCCTCATCAGCCCTGTCGTTGTCCCACTTTGCACTTCTCCCTAGGAACCCCCCATCCCTCAGCTGTCCCCCTGTGCCAATGTCCCTGCAACCTCCAAATCCAGCAACTCCCATATCCCTAATTGCCAGACTTTTTTCTTGGACAAACGAAGCATGGCCCAAATGGAGCAGTTAGCAGGCTCCCCTCAGCTGGGGGCGGGGGCAGGGTACTGTTCTGTCACTGTTGGCCCAGTGGCATTCTTTTATGACACCAGTGACTCTCAGGTTGTCAGATGACAACCGATGACTCACCATTGTCAGACCTGCAGCCAAAATGAAAATGTGGCTTGAGACGGCCCCATGCTTTCTGCACTCACCCAAGGCTGCAGTTGCAGGCAGTAACAGTTGATGGTGTAATTCAGGACTCCACACTTTTGAGGCATCCCTAAAGGACAAATTCTCCAGGAGACCAAGCGAGAAATCTGGGGTCCAAATAGTTGTCCTTGACATCCTCTTAATCTTTTATTGCCATACTTCCCAAATAACAATGAAAATAAAATACAGCTAACATGGAGTGTTAACCCTTGCTAGTCTCTGTTCTAAATACTTTATATGTATCGCTTAATTTTAACCATCCCTGGAACACCCTAAGGCACGGGGGTTAAATAAACCAGCCTGGTTGAGAAGATCGAGGCACAGAAGCATGGTGGCTGGCTGCTGATACGGTGATCCTTATGCTAGTGATGGAGCCAAGTTTGAAGCCAGGCTGCCTGACTCCAGAAACTACCCTCCCTGCTCCCTATCATCTGCCTCCGTGGCAAAGTCATGACCAAGCAGTGTGTAGGGTGCTTTGGGGACACCCAGAGAATGGCTACACCCATCTGGGACAACCAGGTAGTGAAGTTCCCAAATGCAAGTGATACCCTGGACAAGTAGTAGTTGGCGAAACAGATTCTCAGATTGGCTCGAGATTGCCTGCCTGGACGATGCAGGTCTGTGTGTCCTTCAGACCAGCCCCTCTGCTTCTCACTTCTCTCCAACACGTAGGAATTCTGTAATAGGGAGCCGTGATCTTCTGGTGAGGGCTGATGTACAGGTAATTAATCAAGACCAGACCTGCATAGACTTTAAATATCAAAGGAACGGATACAGAGATTGGCAATCTTTGTTGGAAATTAAAGAGCCAAATCAGAACTCTGGCCTCAATGAATCCCAAGCTGTCTAAGCACATAGCTAATCTGAGGTGTTGCCTCTTTCTGATACTGTTCTAGAATCTTCCTCCTGCCCCATGGTGCCCCTTGTCATGTCTTACACACCCTCATCCCTAACCTTATGGTTCTTTCTCTCTGACAACCAATAAAGCATTACAACAGCCACTTTAAAATGGCAAACTGATCAAAAGACGCACCTGAATGTTCCTCCATCCTCATCAATGAACGGCCTTTCCAGGTGTGTGTAGCCATAGCCTCTCAGTTCCCTGTGTTTGGTTTCCAGGGGAACGCAGAACCATTGTGTCCTGCACACGGATTGTTAACAAGACCACAACTCTGGTGAATGACAGTGACTGTCCTCAAGCAAGCCGTCCAGAGCCCCAGGTCCGAAGGTGCAACTCACACCCGTGCCAATCACGGTAAGTCACTGTGTTCTCAAACTTGGACCCTCCAGGGTCGGGGTAGAAGCACCTATGAGTTGGGGGGTGAGATACAGTTAACACCACAGTACCTCTCTCTGCCACGTTCTCTTGTTGTTGGCAAGTGATTTCTGCTTGCTCGAAATACTGACTTTCTGGCGAGAGGTCTGATAAAAATGTACAATCCTAGCTAGAAGGTATTTTTTAGCAGGCCACTAAGAATATCTCGTGCAGAAAAAATCATCACATGCTTTCAACTGATACATGTCAGCTCCCGCCAAGTTATTTTGTCTTGGAGAAAAAGGAAATCGAAGTCAGAGTGTGAGAACCCATGAGTAAGTAACACAGGTTAGTGTCTGTGGTTGATCTGTTTCAGTGGCTGAAACTAACACCAGTGAGTGTGGATCTTGCTGTACATTGTTTAGAACCCATCAGGAGGTCTGTTGCCAACCCCAGCTTTCGTGGCCATGTTTCTCATGTGCTCTGGAGTGAATTTTCTTGGGCTGTCAACCGAGATGAATTGTGTGAAACGTGTTTGTCAGTTAAGCCTCCTTATTTCCAGCCATTTCAGTGAGACTTTGCATAGCGCTGTGGTTGTTAGAGTGTGTAATATCACCCCTGGCCTCCCATTCTGCTCTGGGTTGCAGTACATGGTTTTTGTTTTGTGGTTCCCTGCATGTTTTTCTTTTATAAAGAAGCTGGACTTTTGACATGGCAGCTTTTTAAGACCAACTTGTGCCTCTCACCTGGTACAAAAGTTTCGCAAAGCATTTTGGTTTTCGTGCCAACCTCCTTTGCTTTGTCAAACTGGTAAAGTGTGTATGAGTGAGAGAGGGAAGATAAGAGGGAAAGCAAGAGGTGAGACTTACTCTGTGGGTTGTGTCTGGTCCATGGCAACTTAAGGATGAAGGTGGGTGGCAAGGGGAAATAGGTGAGGGGGATTAAGAGGTACAAACTTCCAGTTACAAAATAAATAAGACATGGAGATAAAAGTCGCAGCATAGGAAATATAGTCAATAAGATGGTAGCGGTGTTGTTTGGTGACAGATGGTGACTACACTTATTGTCGTGAGCAATATGTAGAATTATTGAATTGTTATGTTGTACATGTGAAACTAATATAGTGCTGTATGTTAATTATACTTCAATTTAAACGAAAGAATAAAATTCCACCCTAACACTGAAGGCCATGAGGAATGGCTCACTCTCAGAAGTCTCCCTGAGCATCTTTGGTATGAGCAGCCATCCCACAAATGCATCAATTGGTGAATGAATCAACCACACACACCCAGGACCAAAGAAGGAAGGCCTTGCCACCGTGAAGACTCAAAGATCAGACAGGTCACAGAGACAGCCCAGCTCTGTGACATATTGGAAAGTAGGATAAGTGAATCTAGAAGAGGAGAGGTCAGCATGGGCTCAAGGGCATGACGGAGCAAGAATGATCTTAGGAATCCATTCAAGAATCATTTTATTTTATTTTATTTTATTTTATTTTATTTTATTTTATTTTATTTTATTACATTTACTTATTTTTGAGAGACAGAGTGTGAGCAGGGGACAGGCAGAGAGAGAGGGAGACACAGAATCAGAAGCAGGCTCCAGGCTCCAAGCTGTCAGCACAGAGCCCAACGTGGGGCTCAAACCCACAAACCGTGAGATCATGACCTGAGCCAAAGTCAGACGGTTAACCAAGTGAGCTACCCAGACACCCTTTATTTTATTTTATTTTGTTTTATTTTCTGTGTGTGCAAGCAGGGGAGGGGCAAAGGGAGAGAGAGAATCCCAAGCAGGCTCCACGCTCAATGCAGAGCCCAATGCAGGACTCGATCTCACAACCATGACCTGAGCCCAAATCAAGTCAGATGCTTAACTGAGTGAGCCACCCAGGTGCTCTAAGAATCCTGTTTTAAAATCATTTATGTTTTCAAACTATTTTAGTGTCCAAATATTTCTAAAATTATGCACATAAGCCAAATAATATAAAACATGGAATCAGAGTTTCTCTGATTGAATTGAGACACATATGTGATGGGGAAGAGAAGCTCAGTGTACTCTTTCCTTCTTCATATCATAGTAGGCCCACAGTATCTCTGCAGAATGCCAACGAATAGAATTTAAATGATGGGGTTACTTTTATTGGACCACCTCTCAATATTCTTCGCTAATGATACTCCTAACTGTGCTGAGCACATAACCATCTTTGGTAGCAGTGTTGTCCAATTTGAAACGTGCTGTAAAAGTATACACCTGATTTCAAAGGTTTAATATGGAAAGAGATTGTGAAATATCTTAGTAATTTTTAATACTGATTACATGTTGAAATAGTTATATTTTGAATACATTGGGTTAAATGCAATATATTAGTAAAATTCACCAATTTCTTTTTAATTTTCTAATATGGATAATAGAAAATTAAAATTACATATATGGCTCATGTGTTAATTCTATTGAACTGCACTACTATAGATTAACATATCAGTCACAATGTTCAAGATACAGTCCAAAGTTACTAGACATACAAAAAAAAACCCAGAAACATGTGACCCATACATTAAAGGAAACTGACTCCAAGAGGACACATATATTGAGATTAATAGATAAGAATTTCAAAGCAGCTATTATAATTATGCTCAAAGACATAAAAAAAAATATAGCCACAATCAATGAACATATAGGAAACCTAAGCACAAAAAAGAGACACTCTAAAAGCAAACAAAATTTTAGCACTGAGAAATATAGTGTCTGAAATTTTTTTAAAAAAATCACTCGATGGGCCTAACAGCAGATGATGAAAAAAAAAAAAATCAACAAACTTAAAGATAGAAGAATAGAAATTATCCATCTGGAAAATGGAAAGAAAAGATTGTTGACAGTGACAGAGACTCTGTGATCTGTGCCATAATATCAGGCATCCTAACATAAATGTAATTAGAGTCAGAGAAGGGGAAGAGGGGAAGATTAGGGCAGAAAATAATCATAAACAATGACCAAAAATTTCCCAGCTTTAGTGAAAGACAGAAGGGAGGTAATTAGGTTATGCCTTGAGCATTTCAGCTAGATTCCAGATGAATCCAAAGCTCCATAACAAAGCTCTGTGATCATTACACCATATTACATGCAACACCTTTATGATTTTGCCACACACAGATATTCTAGGAAGGAACCTTGTTGCACTGTGAAACTCTAACGAGAAAATCATGTCGGAAAACACCTACAAAAGTCACATCACCAAGCATGAATTAACAAAGGTATAAACTCTATAATTCAGTGCTACGGAGCTGCTCTAAGTTTGGATGGAGAACATCGAGTGTGTGTGTGTGTGTGTGTGTGTGTGTGTGTGTGCGCACGCGTGCGCGCTCACAGAGCATTCTGACAGACCACAGGCCTGCAGTCTCACCGTGGTTGAACACAAGTTCAAGCCAAACACACTTTAGACTAAAAGTAAGCTCAGAGGCACATTTTTAGTATCTCCTTAGCACGAGGGTTAGCAAACTTTTTCTGTTAAGGGCTAGATAATAAGTAGTTTTGGTTTTACAGGCCACATAAGGTTTCTGATGTCTGTTTTTCTTTGTTTTGTTTATAACCCTTTTAAAAATGTAAAAACCTATTTTCAACTCCTGGGTTGTAGGAAAACAGTCTGCAGGCCAGACTTGGCCCCACCTTAGATTACTGCTTACCCTTGCTCTGCCCTCTGGGACTTTGGGACCACAGCCTCAGCATGAGCCCAAGTTCTAAAGGTACTGCCTCAGGAAATACGTGTTCTTATTACACAAAGAAGAACACGTTGTTATACCTAGTTACTTTTTATTGCCCAGTTGTTCAGTACTCTTTTTAAAAGCACCCAGCCTGGCGCGCCTGGGTGGCTCAATCGCTAAGCGGTTAAGCTTCCATTTTCGGCTCAGGTCATGGTCTCACAGTTTGTGAGTTCCAGTTCCATGTCAAGCGCTGTACTGACGGCTAAGAGCCTGGAGCCTACTTCAGATGCTGTGTCTCATTCTCTCTCTGCCCCTCCCCAATTTGTGCTCTCTGTCTCTCAAAAATAAATAAATGTAAAAGCACCCAACCTGACCCTAAGTGCACGGTACAACATCAATAATTCCCCTCATCTGGCATGTATTTGTTGAGTACCATCCCATTCACCAGGCCCTGTTCTAAGTACCAAGGTATTTAGAAGTAAGAAAGACACACAGGTTCCTTGTTCTCATGTGACTTGGTTTCTCCCTCCCCCTCTCTGACCTACCTTTCTGGGTCATCTTTTTTTCCTCTCTGACCCCCTTCCTGACTCTGTAAAATCATATGAATCAGACTTAAAGAATGAGTGGAGTTTCCAAGAGCAGAGGATAAAATGAAATTGATAGAAGACAGCACCTGAAATTTGTCTCAGAGCCTAGAAAAGAAAGCCTGGATGCCTCTTTTAGTCTGGTTTTATTTGTTGTTTGTTTGTTTATATTTTAAACCATCTGACTTTGTACTGATTCTTAAAGTGTGGACTCATGAAAATGAAGTGTCATGGCTTATCAAAGAATATTGTTTGAAGAAATGTGATCTGATAGATTTTAAAATTCCTATAAATCTTAGTTATATTTATTTATATTTAAGCACACAGATGCACACACATGTATGTATGTACACACATACATACACTATATATGCAAATGTTATATAGAGATATATACATATGCACATATGTATGTACACATACATATATTTGAACAATAAAACTTGAATTCTTGCATAGTGTGATCTAGTTGACCTGTCTTCAGAACATATAGCAATATGGACGAAGGTGAAGAAAAGTGAAGAGATTGGCCTCAGAAAACTAGTGCTAAATAATCAGAAAGAGATTTAATCTGTAAGTAAAAACTGGACCTTAGTGAAGGGGGTGAGTGTGGAGATGTATAGCATCTGGAGAATAAATGACTGTTTCAGGTGGGATGGGCATGACTGGAAGACAGAGCCTGTAACCTGGAAGGAGAGCCCAAGATCCCAATGGTGTA